AGAGTGAGCTCATCCGCGGCGTTCTTACCACTGGTTGTTTCCTTCCTAAATCGATCGTTAACTGATCACTACTGGTAGGTAGGTGTAAAGGCATCTGGAGACGAGCTTATTCCACCACTTGTCCCGACTGATTGCGACGATATCAGCTATAGTTACAGCCAAGTGTGAATCGAATCAGAACCAGAGCAGAAACGTTAGGCCTCGTTGATTTTCTGCCCTGGGCGAACATGCTGTGATCAGATAAGCTTAGCGGGCGGGCGCGACGCAGGCGAAACAGCAATACGTGCTGTGCTGTTCGCCTAAATCATGGCTGGAGCCAAGTTGAAGAATACAAGATCAAACTCAAGTCACAAGAATCTGGCGTTGCTACTGCTCTCTGCCGAGTGTTAACGTGCTGCGGCCTATACAACTGTGGAACCAATAATCGTATGCGAGGAGGGTTTGTGCCCGCAAGCAAACTGTAGTGTGGATCGTTATACCTGTCGTGGTGGAGTGAACACCACAGCTGCAGCGGCGTGCCACTTTCCCTCGTCAAAAGTGTACAGTAACGGGGCTGCAGAGCAGCGATACCGGGTACCATGTATGTACTCCCCGCGCTGCCGTACGGTCAGGCACACGCCCAACCACAGCCGGATGCGCTACTTGTCTGCGCTCCCCCCCTATCCCTTTCGTTCTGGTTGTCTTTGCAACTGAGTTCGGGTTTCACCGTGGGATTCTGATATCGACGGAGTGCAGTACTTTGAGGATAGCATGGGCGAAGTGTGGGATATCTCCGGCTGTCAGCACCCTATTACTCCGTTCCCGTTCACTTTGATGGGGATACTTCAGGACCCAGTCGCACATGGCAACACGTCTTCGGAGGTGCGTTTACAGCTGGTCTCTGAGAAAAAAATCTTGAATGTTCAGGTTACTTTATAGTAATGCTAGAAATTTCTTAACTCGTGAGCAAGGATATATTAATCCGTGTTCCTAAAGAGCATGACAGCAACATTACCGTAGCTTTTGCAGGGTTACCTGTTGTTTTTTCTACTTACGACTGGGAGGCGTCCACACAATGAATGCACCGTAGTTGATCCGCAGGGTGGTGGCTACGCTACTGTAGGTAGGTCAAGCACGTGCGAAGGGTGCGTATCTCGAGAATGAAGCTGGAGGTAGTCATGTCGTGGGAACTCAGGTAACACAGCGAGCCAAAGTATAGGTGCGGCTTGGAAGATTTGGAGGTTGAGCATTTGCGATGAGCGCTCTTGCGATAACGCTAATTGTAAGGTTAGTCGCACTATATCGACACTATTCATCTTTCACTGCCCCAACTATCCGAAATCTGGCCAGTTTTTGACCGACTTATTTCTCCATAAGCGAAATTGGCAAATTTGTCCCCTGGGGCAGTGCGCCGGCGCCAAAATACCCTGAATCACCAAACTTGTTCACAGAGTAGTGTGACCTCCTGAACACGATTATCACATCCGTTCGGCCTGAAACTTGCCAGCGCCAGAGGCGCCGGCGCCGGAATATCCCAAATTACTGGCGTCTGTGGCGCAGGGCCAGGAGGTTTCGGGCAAAGCGGATGTGATATTCGTATTCAGGAGGTAAAACTCGCCCTGGTGGATGACTTCAGCCAGGTTTTGAGCAGAGAAAAATTTGGCTACAAAAATTGATTTGGTTCCGGATGCTATGGAGCAGCGAGAGGTAAACTAGTGCGCATCATCACATCAACTCGACAATCATCTGCAGCATAGCAAGTAGACTTCTGAAGTCTGAAACGGAACTTCGTCGTTGATCGATTCTTTCGGATTGGCACAACAGTATCCCCCTTCAAAACTCATAGGACTACATTTGGCCTATACCTGCGGGAGCAAGGCCGTACACAAGCGTGCTCTTTTAAATCACTTGCATGAATTTGGCACCCACGTAACGTCCCTGGAGAGAGAGAAGGCTCGGTCTGATCGGCGGAAGTCCGGTCTGGAGCTGAACCCTGGACTACGTGCACTGGTGAGAGGCTTTGAGCACTGATACCACGTCTCTTTTTTAAATATAATAAAAATTATCATTGAATAAACTTGAGAAATTACAAGACAAAAAACTCAATAACAGAGCAATAACACCTTAACCAACAGAGATCGCCAAAATATTGCTGACTCCACACATTCCAACTTAGAAGTCGTCGCTCGCTTGTCTGAAATCGAGCTTTCAATGATGAAGCGATTGCTAGGTGCAAATACCTACGAGGTTACCAGATTGTCACGTACCGAGTTGTGCTGTTCTTCCTCGCTATCAGTCTGCATTGCAGCCGCATCAACTTCTTCGTTGTCATCGTCATCGTCTGACATTCCCGCTCCGGTCATGTTGCCATACACTTTTCTTTCTGCTAAACTCAAATCGGCATGATTGCGCGATATCAGTTATAGACACCTGCCCAACTTACAATTTCGCCGAGCAGGATTCATGGGTGGCACCTCTTCCTCAACTGGTTCGTCTCTGAATAACGGAACTTGAGAAAGGCAAGGCAAAAACCGTGTTAACAAAATAAAAAGTCAAAACCAACTGGTTATTCAGATCCATGCGCATCTTCTCCACCACCTGCCTCATTGTGCGCTCTGACTCCTCCTAGGTTAAACATAATATACTTCTTCAGTTATACCCTCGACCACCACAGCTCCCTTTACCTGCTTCTGTCGGTCTGTTCTTTCAATCTCAAGCTGCAACTGTTGAAGATATGCCAGATTTCGAAATTTCACGACGTACACCTGAACAGCAATTATTCAATGGCAGGGCGCAGTATGCCGACGGGGGGGGCATTTTGCACTTTTGCTACTTCCCATCGACGTGTCGACCTATCTAGACAGCCTCTTCTCGAGTTGACAGGTTTTAACATGATGGCTTGACGACCTTGTTCCAGCTTCACAAGAGTTCACAGGTTTCGCCAGAGTGAGACATGTAAACCGGAACTAAGGAAGCAATGATAGTACAAAATGCCCCCCCCGTCGACAAACTACGCCCAATAACAGAAACAGTAGTGGATCTGCTGATGCTGACGCTGAGCGAACCTCGTACAGCTGCTTGAGCTTCTCCTCAAGTTTCTCGTACTCGTCCATGTACTGAGGTCGAAACGACTGAAATAATTTTGAAAATAGCGGAGAAAGGCGACCTGTCAAAACTTCGGTGAGGATGAGGCACACCTGAAGTTTCACAAAGCGTTTCTGCATTTGTTCGTATTCCCGCTTTTTTCGCTCGATTTTCTCGTCCAAGGCTGCCTCGTCGTTAGCCACATTTGCTAGTTTATTCTACGAAAAACACTTTTTTGACAAAAAAAACTGTACAGAGCAATGCAGCATAACATGCTAATGTGAGCTAAAGACAATATAAGTGTGAGTAGCACTTACTGTAATATCGCCAGTATCAGCGACAATGGCTTCTATGGACTGCTGAATCGTGTGTTCTGCCTCAGCCAAAGGAATTGCCCTTGAAACAGCACGGCTCCGTTGTTCCTGTAACTATATCATTAGACACCTTGCACTCTTGCTACACAAGTCTGTCGAGGTCTGCCTGAACTATGCTTTAAGCACTTGTTTCTTCAGGCGCTATTTCAGTTACCATTAGGGGGACAGTCTTGCACATTCCTTCTCTACGATACGCACGATATACAGGGGGGGGGGGCAAAAAAAGTCACTTCGACCGAGTCACATATCAGCAAAGTTTTCGCTGCCCAGACAGAGGACGTGGATACGAGTACCAGGGCGGAAGATACCCAAGATGTTCCTCTATAAGCAGGAGCTGGCTCTCGCCCATCACCTTCATGTACACCAAAATATGAAGTCATCTCCAGTCGCAGCCTGACTGGAGAAGACCTTTGGAATTCATGTCACCTCCAAACAGCTGCGAAACTTCTAGTATGGAGTCACCAGCTACCTGGAGACCAGTACTCTCGATCTGGATGATACCTCGCAGACATTCGAACAGATCCGTTCAAGACGTCGCTACGGTCCAGGGACATCATCTTCACCGCAGTCGTCAAGGAGCGGGTATGGTATGGACCGGAGATACATACCTGGAATGGAAAGACCAATATTTTCTTCGTGGACCCCGGACTGAAGGTGAGCGCTGGCGATTACATCGAGCAACTCGAGGAAGAATATCCTCCTCACATGTGGTCTAACTCGTGAAGAATATCCTCCTCACATGTGGTCGCCCGTACCTTCTTGGAAACTTTGTACTGCTACAGCATTGAGTGCCACCACATGAAATCGAAGGGCGTTGGAGAAACACTCGCCTACTTGGAATGGAAGGGGCTGAGTACCTAAAGAAGATGGAATATCCAAGTAGGTCACCTGACCTGAATCCCCTCAATTACCGGTTCGGGCGGAGTTCAATAGGGTGGTCTACGGTGGCGGAGAAATCGACTATCTCGCTGATCTCAGGGACCACATCGCGGTTGCGTGCCAGAATCTCTCGATGGCGCTCGTCCAGAAGGCTGTGGCGGAGTGTCATGATAGTATTTGATATGCTCTTTAATATGGTGGTAAAAATGTCCGATCAGAATTTAATAAAGTGTAACTTATAGCGCCTCGAAAGTCAATGAAGAAAAGTGACTTTTTTGCCCCCCCCCTGTACGGTCTGGTTGTTTCTGGTGATTTTGATAGTGAATCCCTTGCTGCTGATGAGAAAATGCTTGATTTTTTTTACTCCATTGCGATTATTTTTCAAACCAGTCGGATCACCCGGCTGCCGCCGGGTGCTCCTCCTTCTGTTTCACGGCCCGGCTTCGCCGGGCCGACCTGGCTTCGCCAGGCACTTTTCCCTTGGGCGAGGTAGAATGCGCTAAATGTGCCAAACGGTGGCAGTTATTTTTTTAAACTCCAGAAAAATGAGTTGAAAAAGCTCAACATCAGTCATTATCTACCAACATCTGGTTACTTATGCTTACAAAGACTTTCAACCGTGAGAAGGCTGCACCATATCATTAAAGGCAAAGCCCGCGATCACTCGCCGTCACAGATAGTGGATTAGGGGTTTGCATATAGACGACAAGGTGCTGAGTAACTCGATAGTGAAGAAAAAGCAAAAAACATGCCAACTGCCCTAGATAGAACCCCATTTCGATCCCAGCTTGTACGTGCCCTATTAACTCCATCTCCATACTACGCCCCCATCCGCACAGCTGATTTCCCGATAAGAACTCTACGACCGTACAAGTGACGATTTTGATTTTGAGTGATTTTCATGCTTTTTGTCCTGCAGCTTCGTTTTCACTGAAAGGCGGGCCTTGAAGGCGGAGTCTGGAGGCGGAGTCACTGGAAAAAAGGAGGCGTCACTGAACCTATATTGCGCTATAGCGCCCCTCCCTTACAATTTTTTGCCGCGAAACCGGTACAAGGTTGTTCGTCGCGGACCACACTACCCTCCCGACGCTAT